GAATCAACCAGTGGTAATGGTGGAGACCTATTCTTACCGTGTGATCTTACCAAGTGCTGCGTATTGTCTCTCCGGGGGGTTCCAGTCGGTCATATTGGTGTGGCCAGCCTTGCACTTTTTTCTTTTTTCTTTTTTCTTTTGTTCTTTGCAAAAACAGAACCTTGAGGTTCTGGCTCCTTTCCATTCTCTCTTGTTTTTCAACACCGTGGTTTGTGAGGGGGCCTGGTGTCGATGTGGGGTGTCTTTATAGGAAATCCTCGTGTAGTCTTTAATGCAAAAAATGCCCCCCTTTGCGTCCTTCTCTTTGTTGTGCCCCCCCTATGTGTTCGTTTGTTTGTTTCTTTGTTTCTTTGTTTTGTTCCCTGCAGTAACGAAGACGATGTCTGTGGAATTTGCACGTAAAAGAGATCCGATCATCGCGGTTCTTCTGCACCCAGGAACAGGTCAGTAGTGCCAGGTTTGGATTTTTTTTATTTTTTTTTTTTTTATTATTTTTTTTTTAATGTGGCCCGATGGACCACGGATCAGATATTAAACTGATCAGAACAGATACTACACTTGATCTTAGCCAAAAGGCCGAGAAAGGTATTGGTTTGGATTTTTAAAATGTGTTTAGTAACTTCAGTTTATTGTTTTTTTAATTTTTAGGGAAGTTTTAGCCTTTAGGACATTGGAATTTTTGTCGTTCAAGTTTCAAAGTCAAACTTTTTTTTTTTAAATGGCTGCGTGCCCAGCTCAGTGGGCGTACTATTCTTTCGCCTTTTACTAAAGAATACCGTGGGCTGAGCACACGTAAGCAGCTTACGTGAATTTTTCACCGGCCTTCCAGACTAGAAAAAAAGAAAAGTCAAACTTTTTTGTTCTCTGTTTGATCAGCTAATGGGAGCAGGAGAGCAAGAGCAGCAGACAAAAGATAGTTTTTTTTTACCTCCTTTTGGGGTAACTAGGGTGCAGTCAGGATTTCAGTGTAAACTCCATTTCAGCCATCCCTCGAATACAACACATCCCCACCGGACCCTAAAGCTGGGTTGTATACATTCACAACTTTCCTCGCTTCGGCACAGCATTCCTGAAATAGTGACTGAAGCGCTTTTTTTTTTCTTGAACTGAAACCCTGCACCTTAGTTTTCCCTTTTCTTTTTTTGTTTTGTTTTCTGAAACAAGTATTCCAAAGTTCTGTCAAATCTGTAAGACTTTCCCTTGACTGCTGCTTTGAGTGCCTCCGTCCTTTGTGACTAGGTTTTTTTTTCTTTGGGGTATTTTCAGTAGAGTCACCAAAACGAGTTTTTTTTTTTTTTTGGAGCAACTCAAATTCATTCCAAATGGGAGACAGACAGAGGCCCGGGAATGCACCTCGACAACACAACCCGGTACATCAAACATGCTCGGGCCATTACCCAGCTGTGGGCTTCTGGAAACCGGGTCCAGTGTCCCTCCTCTAAAGTACTCCAAAAAAAAAAGAAACCAAAAAAAGGAATGGAAGGTTTCTGCCAAGCAGATTATCTAATCTCTTCTTCCGAGCCATGAATTAGCAGATATGACTCGGACTAAAGCCCCGTGTCTGAGCTCCTATCTACTTCAACTTTCTTTAGTCCTATAGGCCAACAAACTGCAGCCTCAGAAGGAAGGAGGACTCCACAAAATAACCCTGAAGCACAGAAAATGGTGGCTAAACTAATCATAGCAACAATACTCCATTCCTCCGGCCAAACTCAGGAAAGTGCCGGCGTGTTTCTAAAATCGAAGCACTAATGGCAAAGAGCAACAAACTATATTCAGCAAATCTCGAGAAAGCACAAGGCAATTCACGGCGATTATACAGTTTAACCCTACAATTGTTTCCAAAAGCAGACTAAATTCTCCAATACCATTCGCATCTGAATTTTTCCAAGCCAGAACTCGCTAAATTTAAAACTAAATGTACTAATATCAAAAGAAGTAATCAATCGAAAAAAGCATTCCAACATCCACAATCTATCAAAATACAAAGGAAAGAGAATCAATGACTAAGAGCTGGGAGGGAGGAGTAGACATTAGGGTTACTCCTAACCTCACTATCCAAAAACACTGTAAAGAGCCTTTGTTGCCTAGACGGGTTTCCCACCACGCACCCAGTGGATACAACTCTAGTTTGCTCTTCACCGGGTCTCTCATATCATCCAAACCCTGTGAGTGTCCCCCTAAACTACTACAACTGTATCCCAGCACTTGAAAATAACGAGAAGCTATGAGTTCCAATCATATAAAAAAAAAAAAAAAAAAAAAAGAAGCAATCGATACATGGCAATTATTTTACCTTCACACCGGGGCAACGTTCCCACCACCACTAGTGAGTCTCCCACTCCCGCTTGTGGCGCCGTCACCCAACGGGCTTCAGGGCTTTGTAACTATCCAGATATTGAAAACCTGCGAGACAGCAGACTAAAAGAGCAATCCTAATGACTAGGCGCTGGGCGAGAGGACTGGACATTAGGGTCACTCTCTCAACCCCACATCCCAAAACGCTGTAAAGAGCCTTTGTTGCCTAGACGGGTTTCCCACCATGCACCCAATGGATACAACCCTAGTTTGCTCTTCACCGGGTCTCACGTATCCACCTACCCTGTGAGTATAACCCTAGATCACTGCAAGCATACCCCCGCGCTTAACAATATCAAGCAACTGTATATCTACTGCGAAGACTATAGTCAAAGAGTCTAACGAGAAAAACTCCATGGCAAAAGATTAAAGGGATGGAATTGAACCTACGTAATCAGATAGCATTTACTATCCAAACAAATCTGAAAAATAACAAATGAAGTTATTGAAACAAGCGCAATTCAAGAAGATTTAACACCCTGTGTACTCAACTTGGCGTCTAGTCTGTTTTCAAACAGACAAGAGCAAATATAACTACTCACTACTCAAGAGCGAGAGAGATTATATGTACGAACACAAGCTGACGGTAAACCCCGCCACGAAGGATGACAACCTGACCAGGATCGTGCTCAGGATCCTGACGAAGAACCTGACCAGGTTGAGAGCAGAAGATTCCGAAAACTCAAAATTAATCTGAAACGGACCACATCCATCGTGGACATGCATCACGATTGAAAGCTTTTGCCCGCTTGCTTCAGAGTATAGTACTCATCAGGAGCATTTTCGGAGTATAGTACTCAACAGGAGCACTTTCCGAGTATAATACTCAACAGGAGCACTTTCCGAGTATAGTACTTAGCAGGAGCACTTTCAGATCGCCGAATGAATCTGGACACAGAAACACAAAGCATGAAATAAATGGGCGTCAAACTGCCTTGCGATGAAGGTAGATCAAACGAGACTTGCTGCAGCCGCAAGCCAAGTTAAGTGAAAGCTCAGCGTGTAAAATAAGTAAACATCATACTGCCTCGCAACGAAAGTAAGTCAAACAAGACTTGCTGCAGCCCTTGAATATGCCGGAGCGCTGCCACCGCACCGCACGCTCTCACACTGCGTCCAGGTACGCTGCTCCACCTTCCGTACTTTCCTTTCAATAGAGGCAGTCAAGATGACGTGTCGTGAAGTACAGCGCGCGGCCTTTAGGTGTTAAAAAAGGAGGCCCCCCTTTCCAGCAGAAGGCTTGAGGGGAAGGCAGCTCTTCTGGTATCGAGGTCTTGTGAGGTCTGTAGGTTGGTATCGAGGTCAGATATGGAGCTACCAGGATGCCTTGACATACGAGTGCAAAGGCACTCCCTACCCACTCAAGGGCTAGGCTATGCCAGGGCACTGTCGCCATAGCTCTCACACAGCTATAGTGCCTGGCAGGGTAGGTGCCACGTAGGACTGATAGAACCCGAAGCTCAAACGCCCCACCTACACAGCCGCGACTAACGAGGACCGGGCGCCGCCACCGCCGCTGTCGCCGCTACGTTAACGCACATTCGCGCGGCCTCTCCCCTAGTTTTTGTTTTGCCACCAAAACGAGTTATAATTGCACTATGGAGCAAGATACAGTTTGCAATTGCACAGCAGGAAGAAGGAGAGCAACAGCAGGTGCGTTGCAGAAGCATCGAAGCACACACGTCATCATGCAAGCACAACACACATGGAGTCTTCGCAGCTTGAAACCCAACAAGGGGCCCAAATCAAAAAAAACATCGTTACGCTCGGAAAATGCCGACAATCCAGTCCGCCTCTCTTCCCTCCAACGACCCACCACACACTATTGCCGGTACTCTGGCAATCCCCTACGCGTTTCAATCGGCGCCATAACCGATATCATCAGGGGGTAGGCGACCCTTCTGGTGGTAAGCGGGTCGACACCAACTGTTAAATACAGCTGAGGTCGCCCGGAAAATTTTTAGCCTAGGTCCCTATACCGTTCCCATTCCGGGGCCCGAAGGCCGATGAACCTACCCAGGGTCCCAGTAAAATATTCCCTGGGGTACTCCAACAGTCTCAGTTCTCTACTAACTGTTAACAGAGGCAATTCTGACAATTCTACTATTGACGTGCAGGCCTTAATCCTGGCCAGTGCGCTATTAATAACTCCTTTCTTTTGTTTCGCATCGGAATATGACCTGAAACTCTGCATAGACCTGTACGAATACTCATCCGACCAAATGACTTCCTCGTTTTTCCCCCTGTACCGAATTTCGACCCTATTCGGCTGTTTGCCAATCCTTAACTCAGTACCCAAAAATGTCCAGATTCCTTCCCCAGTGTCCGTTCTCTTCAGCTGTAGGTTTCTGTCATATATTTCCGTCAAACCCTCAATTACTTTCTCAGCCCTCTGTTTCCCACTCTTGGTATTCCCTTCCCAGACGAAAACTGACAAATCGTCAATCAGACGTATCCCTTGGACCAGATTCCTGTCCTTCCCCAGAGAGCTGAGGAAACGCGCCTCATTATATATACACAGCAGACAGGCGAGCGGGGGGCTACTACTCTTCCCCATGGGGACTCCCATAACCTGTCTGAGTACCCTCCCTGCTGCAATCAAATAGGTGTGGTCCAACTCGTAGTCTATGAATCTCTTTACCTGCTCACAGCTGACAAACAGCCACTCACCATTCCTCTGCTTTGCAAAGGATACACCTTTCCCTCTCCTCTTAACAAAATTCCCTTCCCTACCTTTACTCCCCATCGCCTCCACCAGCCAACTTACTGCTTTCCTTATCGAAGAGTGAGGCAACTCATTAAACATTTCTTTAACATCAAATGACATTCCTCTGATGTTCCCTCCTCTTCCTTTTGACTGTGCCCACCTGTTCACTCTGTCTATTCTTCCCTTCAAATCATTCACCGATCGTAGGTTGAAATGCCATGCGGGGGTCAATAACGTAATCATCCCATTCAGCGCCCTTGCAATTCTTTGCCCTGCTTGCCTTGATGGCTCTGAGAAGGAAGGGGTAATTGGTCGAAATTTACTTACATCCTTGTTTTTTGGCACAATATACGCCCTTCCCAATCTTCCGCGCCCTTC